TTGCATGCGGACCTTGCCACTGGGAGCCTTCGGCGGAGCACCCGATGGGGCCACGAAGCGTGTGAGGGGTGCGCCAAACTAGAGGTGAAATTGCATGCGGACCCTGTCTCTGGGGCCTTCGGCGGAGCACCCTATGGGGCCACGAAGCGTGTGAGGGGTGCGCCGAAATGGAGGTGGAACTGCATGCGGACCCTGCCACTGGGTCCTTCGGCGGAGCTCCGTATGAGGCCACGAAGCGTGCGAGGGGTGCGCCGAAATGGGAATGAAACTGTATGCGGACCCTGCCACTGGGGCCTTCGGCGGAGCGCCCTATGGGGCCACGAACCGTGTGAGGGGTGCGCCGAAATGGAGGCGGAACTGCATGCGGACCCTGCCATTGGGGCCTTCGGCGGAGCTCCGTATGAGGCCACGAAGCGTGCGAGGGGTGCGCCGAAATGGGAATGAAACTGTATGCGGACCCTGCCACTGGGGCCTTCGGCGGAGCGCCCTATGAGGCCACGAACCGTGTGAGGGGTGCGCCGAAATGGAGGTGGAACTGCATGCGGACCTTGCCACTGGGCCTTCGGTAGAGCTCCCTATGGGGCCACGAAACGCGTGAGGGGTGCGCCGAAATGGAGGTGGAACTGCATGCGGACCCTGTCACTGGGGCTTGGGGCGGAGCGCCCTATGGGGCCACGAAACGTGTGAGGGGTGCGCCGAAATGAAGGTGGAACTGCATGCGGACCCTGTCACTGGGGCCTTCGGCGGAGCGCTCTATGTGCCCACGAAGCGTGCGAGGGGTGCGCCGAAATGAAGGTGGAACTGCTTGCGGACCCTGCCACTGGGGCCTTCGGCGGAGCTCCGTATGAGGCCACGAAACGTGCGAGGGGTGCGCCGAAATTGGAATGAAACTGTATGCGGACCCTGCCACTGGGGCCTTCGGCGGAGCGCCCTATGGGGCCACGAAGCGTGTGAGTGGTGCGCCGAAATGGAGGCGGAACTGCATGCGGACCCCGCCACTGCCACTGGGACCTTCGGCGGAGCTCCCTATGGGGCCACGAAGCGTGTGAGGGGTGCGCCGAAATGGGTATGCGACAGAGCAGAGGCAGGGATGGGAGGAGGGAGGAGGGGGAGGAGCGCGGGAGGTGAGGTGAGGTGAGACGCGGGACGCTGTCTCTTCAAAACGAGGACCCAACACCACAGGATGGTTGGGAACGATCATCTCGTCGGATGCCAGGGGAGGCCACCCCAGGCGAATCGCTCTCTATTCCCCGTCCCCCGCCTCCTCCACCTCCCTCCTCCCCCTCCCCCCTACCTCCTCCCATTCCTCCTCGCTCCTCCCCTGGCCTTCATCCGACATCTTGGTGAGCACTTGCTCACTCACCCAAGCTGCTACAGCCTCCATTGCGTCTCCGATGGCCACCTCATCTCTGAAGATGGGCTGGAGTACCCTGTAAGCATATACCGCACTTGGCAGCCCTCCCCATCCCCCAACCTCTGAGTGATGACTCGGAATTCCCCTGCCGGCCACCTACAATCGCATCGTGGACTCGGTTCGCCAGTTTGCTCTGTGTCGAGCCGCCGACTTGAGTAGAGGCACGTTCCTCACCCGAATCTACATCACAAGATCAAGTCTATCCGCTCCCCCACCTCCCGCTCCTCGCCCCCCCCATCCCTCCTTCATCCTCCCCCCCGCCCACTCAGTTTGCGGCAGCGAGCCTGTGGAGAAAGGCGCCCCCGCGCGCGCGCGGGCATGCTGCGCAGAGGAGGAGAGGGGAGTGGATAGGCGGTGGAGGCAAGCAGGGGGAGGGGGAGGACAGGGAGGATCCGTCCCCTCTATCTCGTCGAACAAGGAACAGCTACATTCGGGCACACGCTAGCATGGAGTAGGGATCCCTGGATCTGGCACGTGGGCGCCAGATCCACGGATCGGGGCACGCACCCCCCCCCGAAACATGACGCCAGTGGCGCTCCAGTTGGCGGACACGGACCCCGTTGCTAACCCACGCGCCTTCATCAATGTTTTCGTTTCCTCGAGCATAAGCACAAATTTCCGAAACTCCACGCTGATGTGTTGGATCTGCGTTGCACCCACGTTGTGTGTATATATATATATATAAACATACATATGTTTCTTACAACTCTCCCCATTCCGTTCCAACGTTTATCAGGGATGCCTCCCGCAAGCTTAAACATCCAATAGTGAGCAAGGGGCTCTGGAAGCTCCCGACGACGACGACGAGCGGACGACAGCGACGGCAGGAGGCAACCATGCGGCAAACAAAGGGGGCGGAGGAGGAGCAGGAGGAGGCGGAGGAGGATGAGGAGGAGGACGAGGAGGAGGAGGAGGAGGAGGAGGAGGAGGAGGAGGAGAGAAGGAGGAGATCACCGACGACGACGACGATGGCGGCGGCGGCGGCGACATTGCGGACAGACCACAGAAGAGATGACGCACGAGTACGCACGTCGACGACACCGCCGAAGGACGACGTGACGACGACGACGACGACGACGACGACGACGACGACGACGACGACGACGACGACGACGACGACGACACCGCCGAAAGACAACGGCGCACGACGACGGCCCCGCGAAACGACGACACACGAAGACGCTGGCAGCGTCGTCGCCGCGCTACGTTTTACCATGAGTGGAACGGGTCCTGGCGAAGACGGGCCCTGGGCGCCAGCCCCGAGCGCGCCAGCGAGCGGAGGTAGTCCCTGACGTCGGCGAGCTTAGCCATAGCCCCGCTGGCCAGGACGCCGTCGATGCGGCCTCGTTGCTTCTGGGCGGCTGGGCGATTGCCGCGGCCCGCGCCGCGCTCCCAGGGGTCGGAGGGGCGGCTCGCGCGCGCCGCCCCCTGGCCAACTCCCGTCGGGGCCGAGGACCACCTCGCGCAGCTCGTCCTCCGTCTCGGCGCATTGGAGCTCGCCACGGGCAGGCATCGCCGCCCAATCCTCCGGGGCGGGGCCCCTGGCTGCACCAGCCAGCCTGCGCCCGCCGCGGCGGCTGCCTGACCCAGCTGCCGAAGCGGGCGGGGGCCCAGCAGCCCGCTTGCTTCCATCCTCCGCCTGCGTCTGGGCTCGGAGCTGAGCTGTGCGCCCGCACGCTGAGCCCGGCTCGACCTCGGCCTGCGGCGGGGGTCGGGGGCGGCACAGAGGGGGGTGAGGACTATGGGGGGTGGATATCATGGCCTGGGCCATGATATCTCCCCAGATGTCATGGCGCCTCTTCTTATTTCATTACGTCCCTGGTCCCCCCTTTGGGCCGCGCACATGCCGCCGGCCATGATTTGCGTCCCCCCCTCTTGGACGCCCCCTCTTGGCCGCCCCCGAGGGGGGTCGGTTGCCCGACCGTCCTCGCACAAGAGCGCGGTCGGCTCGGACCAGGCGGCGCCACGGCAGCCGTTTACCGCCAGAGGGCGCATGCCACTCTCGAAGGCGGCGTCAACCTTGACAGCCTCGCACGGGCGATCACCTGGCTCGATCTCGGACTCGGACCCCTGAGCCAGCATCTCGGCCAGTCCGGCTACCACGCCAGACCCCGCATCGCCTGTCGCAGTGCGACGCCAGAGGCGCCGGTGATGACGCCTGCCTCAGCAGCAGAGCGCGCGCTCGAGGAGCAGGGCGCTGCGCCACAGGAAGCGAGCTCCCCCTGCGAAGAACTGCCACACGAGGGTCGGCCCCCAGCAGGCGGTGAACCGGGCGTGAGCGGCCACGTCGACGAAGGCCTCGGAGTCAAGGGCGGCGTGCTCCTGAGTGTGGATGCCCCCTCCCCGTCCTTGATCTCGCAGCTGTTCGAGCGGTCGAGGGGGGCCCCCTTGGGCTCAGCATACTCAAGGCGTTGTCGCCGGGCGCGGTAGCTGGCCCCCTTCGACGCCGCGCAGTCGATCCAGAGGCAGGCCCGGTCGACGCGGTTCACGTCCAGCGGGTCGACGCCTGGCGGGCGACGCGCCCGTCGATCCGAACGAGGACGTCGTTGAGATTCCGACTGGCCCCTTGCACTTTGATTTTCTGAGCGAGGTATTCGGCGGTGGTCACAGCGCCCGCGCTGCGTCCCGCCCAAACCATTGTTGCGGGCTGGGCCGCTGCCGGCGGCAGCAGCTCGCCAACCTCTGCCTCGCCTGGGGAGCGCCTGGGGCACCGAAAGATGCTGCAGATGACGCCGAGCACCCAGGTGCCTCAGCTGCACGGGGCGAACAACGCGCGCAGGCCGCGGGCGACATCGGCCAGGGCGCCCGCGAAGCAGAGCGCGAGCCCAGCACCCGCGACGACGGGCCATGTCGCGCCGAAGCAGCACGCGTCCGCGTGGTCGGCGAGGCAGAGCGGCCAGCCGGCATCCTTGGAGAGCCCTTTTGCTGAAAGGCGCCCCTGAGATTCTCGATGGCTCCGAAGGCCCAGCCCCCGATCCCTTCTGCTCACCAGGACCATGTCCGGCCGCCCAGCTGCCAAGTCAGGATCGAGGCTACGCAGCCCCCGATCCTGGAAACTTCTGGGCTGTGGAGCGGGGGCGGGGTTGATAGGCGCCCCTCTCCCCGCGGGAGGCCAGCAGCGGCTCACGCGGCTCCCAGGGCGGGGGATCCCCGCCGGCAGCGGCCCGAGCTCGCGCGGCGCCTCGCTCTGGAAGCTATCTCCGAGCCGTCGAGCGCGCAGGAGCGGTAGGTACTCGCACGGCGCCTCCGCGCGGCGGAGGTTGGGCACGCCTCAGGCGCCAACCAGCCGCTCGCCGCCGGGGGGCCCGGTAGCCAGCCGCGCGCCGCCCCGCGAGCTGGCGGGCCCAGTGGGCCCGCCCGCCGCCTTCGCCAGCCCTGCGAGGAGGTGGGGGGCCAGCTGCGCCGCGCGGCGGGCGGTCGCCGCTGCCGCGCAGCGCTCTGGCCCCGCTCCTCCGCGCAGCAGCGGCGGTCGGCAGGGGCCGCGCGCCCTCCGCCTGGCGGCCGCGCGGCCCGCGGCGCGACGTCGCGCGCCCGGCGCCTGCTTCCAGGAAGCGCCCCCCGAATGTCGTGGGCCTTTTGAGGGGCCTCCGGAGCACGCGGCTTCGGACAGCCGATTGAGGCCGATCCCTAGGTTGACCCAGAAAGGCTCGAGCTCCCCAAAGGGTCGGGTAGAGAGAGCAACGAGAGAGAGAGAGAGAGCAAAACCCAAAAAAGAGCGAGAGCAGAGAAGAGCTAGGGCAGGAGCAGAGGGAGAGTGCTCGCACATTCCTGGGGGCCGAGAGAGCCTAGCGCTTCCTGCAAGCAGCTACGGCACAGGGCCCGGAGGCTTCCAGCTGACCTCCCAGGAGCCAGGACGGCTCTTAAGAAGCTGCCGCGCTTCCACAGGGGCGCCCCCCGCCCTCTTCAGAAGCCCGCCGCCCCTCGCGCCGCCGCCTTGTTCGGGCGGGCCCATGGCCACGAAGAACAGCTTCGGGGCTTTCGGGAAAGTTTCCGCAGCGTCCCAGAGCGCTCCGGAGCGGCCGCGGCGCACGACACATCCGCGAGATGTCAAACACTCCCGATGTATCTTGATTTGACTTTGTCCATGGCTTGGTATCGTGATTTTTGGGGTGCCCCCAAATGGTGCGGTGACCACACCGTGTGGTGTATCAATCGGTATTCGAGTTGACCGCACGATGTATGTTGGGAGTTTGGTCGTTATCCGAGGGCGTCTCGGGCAAATCGGGCTTCCAAACAGCCAGACGGTGAGGTGACGGACCGCACGATAAATGTGTTGGGATTTGCGAGACCACCGCACGGTTTGCAAGCGCAGTGTGTTGGGACCGCCAAAAAGACATGGAACCCTGGAGCACAAGGAGGGGCGAGAAGAAGGGCAGCACAGGGTGATAAAAACAAGGAATGTTTTTTTTTCTGACAGGCGAAGTGGTCCCCATTCACATACCTCCTTCTTCATTTTCGCATGCCTCATCTTCCTCCACTCCCTTTCTCCACTTCCCGAGGTTCTGTGTGCACCGCCAGCCGTTTGCGCGCAGAGGCTACATTGAGTTTTGACGCCGTGGAGGCGTGATTCGGTGCCCACGGCAAAATTGACTCCACACCGTGGCAGAGGTATGGGCTGTCCGACTGCCTTGCGGGGGCCAAAACCCTTTTTGCTTTTTGATAATTTGTGTGCTCACGGCGAGTTCCGTTCGGTGCGGACGTTTCCGGTTTGCCGGGCGACCTCTCAGACTCGCATTGTGACATCAGCCCTGGCGAATCGAGATCATTTGGTCGCGCGTTCCTCCTCCTCCCCATCCTCCCCCTCATCCTCCCCCTCCTGCTCCTCGTCCTGCTCCTCTCCTCCTCCTCCTCCTCCTCCTCCTCCTCCTCCTCCTCTTCCTCCTCCTCCTCCTCCTCCTTTCCCCTCCTCCTCCTCCTCCTCCTCCTCCTCCTCCGCCTCCTCTTCCTCCTCCTCCTCCTCCTCCTCCTCCCTTCCCCTCCTCCTCCTCCGCCGTCAGGCCGAGGCAATTTTCAAATGCCTCGCCACCGCGGATAAGCGGTGCAGCCTGGGCGCCGTGTGGCACCGCCTGTATGCGGTGTGGGTCCGATGATGTCAGATCCTTATCCCGCCCGCGTTCCGGGTGCGATAAGGATAGGGCGGAGGGCGGCACTTCCCGCTGGGAGGTTCGTGGTCGTTCGTTGTCGTCCTTCGTGTCTCGTATCGTCGTCGTATCCGTCGCCCTTTTCCTCTTCGGGAGTTGCGGCACGGCCCTGGATTAGGTTCCACGGTGGACGTTGTTTGCGCTCCTGGGCCGGAGAGTGGCCCCCTCCCCCTCCCCCTCCCTGCTGCCGCTGCTGTTGCCGTTGCAGCTGTCAGGCCAGGGTTTTTAGTGCCCTGCCACCTCGGCCAAGAGGTGCGGCCTGGGCGCGGGAAGACCCCAGTGGCACGTCCTGGTCTGAGGTGTACCGCCGTTTGACGATCACGGAGGCGGGGCCCGCGGCTTTTCCGCTTGTAACCTCTTGGTTGCAGTGCTCTTTGCCGCGGGCACACTGTTGCCGCGCTTGTGAGGGTGCGGGCGCTGGGCAACGCTCCGCGCGTTGTCCCTTGGGCGCCGATCCCGAACCCCCGTGCGCCACGTTGGCGAGGGGTGTAGGGCGGTCCTTGGTTTGTTTTCTTTTCCTTGATTTCTTCCCTAAGGCACAGCGTTTCTGGCGCTATTGAGGAAAGGAGGCCGGAGGTCAGGTCCCAGCTTGTGTCCGTGATTCCCTCTTTTTGCGCGTGTGCCCTTGGTTTTGGCCGTTGGCCACCTTGGCCGTTGGCCAGGGCACGTTGGCCCGCGCTTTGATGAGCGCCACGGTTTTGTTCTGCCTTTCGGGCCTGCAACACTCCTCCTCCTCCTCCTCCTCCTCCTCCTCCTCCTCCACCTCCTGCTTCTCCTCCTCCCTTCCCCCCTCTTCCTCCGCCCAGCATAGATGCCAGCAACCATGGCTCCATTCGGTGGCGACGCGACGAGCGACGGCGCCGAGCGCGCGCGGCCCCCTCCCGCCGCGCCCGCACGGCGCGCCAGGCCCTAGCCGGCGCAGGCGCCGTGCGCGCGCTGCGGTAGCGAGGCCGCCCCCCCCGCCGCCGCCGCCGCCCGCTGCCGTCGGGCTCCCAGGGCTCGTTTCGATTCCCCCCGGGTCGATTCGGTTCGACTCCGATGGTTTCCGACTCCGATGCGTTGCGACCTGGGAGTCCGATTCGGGCTCCGGTTTCTGATTGGAGGCGGACTGGCCTGCCGATATCCGCCGATTCGACGTTTCCCGATTCGGCTGCCGATATCCGCCGATCCGATTCATTTTGACCGCCGATCCGACTTATCGATTCGATTCCGGGCTCTCCTGGGGCGCCCGACAGTATCGTCGACGACGACGACGACGATCGGTATCGTTTGACCGACACCCGTCCCCATCCCCGTCCAGACCCCCACCATCTCAGCACCACTCTTGGGGATATGCCTTTCGAAACCTAAAGAAAACGGCCTGCATCCCCATCTGAGGGGGTAGATCGGCCAGTGGGGTCCAGGCCATGCCCATGGAGATGGGGGTCGTTGAACGATACTCAGACGACGACGACGACGGCGACAATGAGCGACAACAGTCCACGTAGACGCTGGCCGTCGTCGACCGACGACGGCGATGGAAGAAGGCGCATGACCGACGACGTCGACCGACGACGATGACCGACGTCGGTCGTCGTCGCAAGTTGCTGGCCGTCGTCGGAGGGGAAAAACACGGCATGATAATCATATGTTTGAGCTCCGCGCGAATTTGTTGGATCTGCGCTGGACCCCAGGCGCCCTTGGCGCGCTCCGCGCGCCAGGGAGTGGTCCAGCGCCAGTCCAAAAAAATCACGCGGGTCTCGTGAGTTGTTATTATTATGCCTCCGTCGTCTTCGTCGACCGTCGTCTTCGTCCAGGCGGCCTATGCCACCTGGGAGGGGCGGAAACGTTGAGCGGGGCCAAGACAGGGATCAATCGTTCTCGGAGGCGGGCCGGAACGCTCTGAAAAGGCCACGGCGCCCGATACATTTTCCAGACCCGCCGGATGTCATAGATCCTTGATTGATTATTGTTCGGTTTTGTCCTTGCCCTGGCTTCGTCTCCGTTGGGCTCTAGATAGTGCACGAAGCAAACGACATGGGGGGTGGCGGAACGGCTATGAGGCAATCTCTGCCGCGAGAAGGGAAAAGGGTGATTGGCTAGCGGCGGTGGTCGGGGCCCGAACGCGGCCTTATTATTATTATGTGTTTTTCTTATTTGTCGTATTATTCTTATTGTTAGTGTCCTTATTATTTGTATTAGTATGCCCCTTATTCTTCTTATTATTCTGAGTATTCGTCTTCTTCTCCTCCTCATCATCATATCATCATCGTCATCCTCATCCTCCTCAGCCCCCTTTTCCTTCTCCTTCTTCTCCCCTTCCTCCTCCTCCTCCTCCTCCTCCTCCTCCTCCTCCTCCTCCTCCTCCTCCTCCTCTCCTCCTCTCCTCCTCCTCCTCCTCCTCCTCCTCCTCCTCCTCCTCCTCCTCCTCCTCCTCTCACTCCTTCTCCTCGTATTTTTCCTTCTCCACGTACTCGTACTTGTCCTCCTCCTCCTCCTTCTCCTCCTCCTCCTCCTCCTCCTCGTCCTCCTCTTCTTTCTCCTCTCTGTAAATGTAACCATGGTTCTTGGAGCTTGCGCGCAGCCGAGGGGGCGGCTCCAAACCCACGCGCTTTCAGATTAGCGCCGCTGCCTGCCCACACCCACAGCCTTCATTGCTTTCGTCCTGGACGCTCCAAAGAACGTTCCACGCGCCCCTTCGGGCGCACCCGATGGCCCAGGGCAACGTTGGCGATGCAGGCTCTGCCTGGCCTTCTGCTCTTCTGGCGCCGGCGCTAGCGAGGATCATGCGTGCAGCGGGAGGACACAGCTTCCAATCATAACCAAGAGGGATGGTACACTGCAAGCGAGGTGGGAAGCTCGTTTTTCGTCACGTGCCTGGCCTGCGGGTGCAAGGAGAAAGTTTTCGGGCTTTGTGTTGCAAGCGATGCGGATCACCCATCACGACGTCGAGCCCAACCCCAGATGCAGAACCTGACGGCGGAAAGGAATGAGGTTGCAAAACCAAACTTGGGTTTTGCATAGGACATGGGAATAATATCGAAGGAAGAGGATATGATGAGGATGCTCGACCACAAGCTGTCTCCGCCCTTGCAGCCCTGCCGCACGGACAGACACAGCAAGAGCCACGAGGTACCAAGTGTTGGCGGCGGGTGGACCGTCATCCCAGACCACTCCGACGGCGAGGCAGAACAGGCAAAGAGTTGAGCACGAGCAGGCCAGCCTGGACAGGCGCCTCAACAGCGAACGCGCCAATCTAGAGAGGTGGGGCACAGCCACCATGGAGCTCAAATCCAGCATCGCCCAGATGGTATTGGAGCGAGCTCGAAGCCATTGACAAGGAGGTCAGCGACGCACTTGCCGAGATCCAGCACAAGGGCCGCCAACACCTAGCCGAGCATCAGCCAAGTAGAGCTACTGTTAGTATCAAGGAATTGGTAGAGGGCAAGACCAGCTTGCAGGACATCTTCACTAAGGATGATTTCCGGGATATTTCTCCTGCAAGGAAGCCCAGAGGATCAGGCAGAGCAGGTCGCAAAATTGTTTGCAAAGCAGCGCAAGGTGGACGCCAAAGGAGGCCCCGCAGCCGGCGGAGCGAACTGCGAGGAGGCCCAGGGTGAAACAGCATAGCCAGCCAGCCCCGATGAGAAGGAGACCGTTTCGATCGTCAACGCACGGCAGAAGTTGGCTGGCGATGCGCGCGCATTCGCGAGACCACTGCAGGCGCAGCCTCTGGCAGGCAGCACCAGGGCAGGATCTACGAGGCCCCGACTGGAACATCTGCGTCGAGCGGCGTGCTCATTGCACCTCGGATGCCCGACGCGGCACGGTGGAAGAAACCCACGGCGGGCACGGCTTTTTTGGCGGGGCCAGGGCCGTACGCAGAGCCCCGCCGCGTCGAATCAGCGGGGGGCAGAAGAGCCGCCGCGCGGCAGAGGCGCGGCGCGAGCTGCGATGGATACGAGGGCGGCGACGGCGATTGCCAGCCCATCGGGCGCCTGTCGACTGGGCGAGCCTCGAAGCCACGAGCCTCGCCGGATCAAAGGTCAGGCCAGAGCACTCGCGCCCGCGCGCGCCCCGGACCGAGCGCCCGAAGAAGAATAAGTCATGACTTATTATTTTGTCGGGCCCCTGCAGGGGCCCGACAGAAGATGCAGGGCAGGCTCTATTCACGGAACATCGCCAATCGCGTCGACAAGTTGAAGAAGGGTCTCAAGGCTGCATTGGGGTGAGTCCAAGTTCGTGGGTTCCTAGGGCATTGCCGGGCGTCTGACAATTGCTGGCGCTGGGCCGCGAGCTCAACCTGCGCGGCTGGGGGGCGATCATTCCGCCCGCTTTCTAGCGAGACGAAATTCCAGCAGCGAGCGCGGCGCCCCTCGCGCGCGCGCCGACCGCGGAAGTCGGTTCGTCGCCCGCCCCCGCGGGCCCCATGAGGAACGGGGCCAAGGTTTGGGAACCCCGGCCGCGCTAGCAGATCGCCGTCGCCGATGTCACCGAGCGTTCCCCCAGCATGCGCTGCAGACCCCATCCACAGCCCCGCCGAATTGGAGCCCCGCGCCGCCCCCGTCCTGGACGAGGCGCCCCAGGAGACCCCCGAGAAGGAATCGAGAGGACACCTCAGCAGTGGCCCCGAGGACATCCATCAACGCCCCCTCGAGGTCGGAAGGGAGCTCATCCAGATTTTCCCGGAACAAGGGCCCGGCGGGGCCGCGGCAGCTGCGGCGCGCCTGAGTTGCCCAGACACTGGAGGATAATGGCAAGGATAGATCCCCCACGTTTGCTCGTCTGGCCAGGCTGCGGGAGCAGCGCGGAGGGGGCGACGCAGGCCGAGGCCGTTCGGCGGCACGGGTCGCCCACGAGAGATTGCCGTTTAACGAGTGTGACGCAGATCTGGCGATCTCGCGCGGTTCAGCACCGACGGGCGCATCGGGCTTCCACGGCCCCCCCAACCCCATCCTCGCCATGTGGCGAGCAGAGGAACACGAGCAACCAGCCACCATCCTCGCCCCCTCCTCCACCCAGTTGCGCCCAGCCCTGATGTACCTCAGCAGCAAGCAGAGTTTCTTGCGAAGTAGTTACCCCGGCGCGAGGCACGCTTCCCGGTGGTAGAGCAGCAGAGCACGTGGCAGCAGCGACCTTACACGACGTCTCACATCAGCAACGCGCGCTGTAGATTTAAACTGGGCGCAGGCAGCCGGGCGGTCGGCGTTGACCCCATAGTCGAGAGGCATGTTGGGGTAGTCCTTAGCTGCGCGGCCGACTTCATTATCGAGTTAGACCAGGAATCGAAGAAAGTAGACTTCAAGGTTAAAGACGAATCCAGGATGATCAGCTACCTTGCCAAGTTTTCCGATGATACCATCGGGCGTTCGCAAACAGAACGCAGCCCTTGAAAATGCTGCCGCGGTGCCAGACCTAGGGTTATACATAGGCCCACAAGCCCGCCAGAACGCCACAATGTAAAGCTAGGCATCGACTAGCCATCGACTGGTCCAGGAAAGTTGCCAATATCGAGACGGTCCGCCAGATGCCGCGAATGCAGTTTTTCAAGACAGGCGCCACGCCGCAGAGCGCTCGCGAAGCCGAGGCGCGTCGCCCCTGCCAACCAGCAGGACAGATCATCCAGGGGAAGAAATCAGGACGCTGCTTTACCGCCCTCCTTGCTCTCGAGATAGGTTTCGAGGGTCGAGGAACAACAGGGGCGCTGGAGTCATGAATGGAGTGGTTAAACTGCATCCCGGCCTGGTCTCAGCACCACCCAAGAATCGCCGTGCTCGGCCCAAGGCGTGGCCCGGGTTCAAAGACGCCCCACCAGCCATGTGATGGAGGAAGGTCAGAGGACCCATGTCAGCCACCATCGCGCCCAAGCTCGGCATGGAATGGGGCCCGTTCAAGCCCGCGCACTGGACCGACCGCGAAGATTTCGACTGGTTGCTAGGCATGGACAGCTTCGAATCGGTAGCAGC